TCACTCAGAAGGAGGGAAACTCCAAGGCCTCTGAACGCGCGCCTGCAGGACGGAGAACTCAACGTTCTAAGAAAAAGGACCAAGCATCTTGCCAATGACGATCTTCGTCGACGTCTCTCACTAAGAGAGGAAAGGAATGGATTCAAGGAGGGTAGAATGCTCTCAATGAAGGATGTCGGCATAAGGAAGAACGACCCGTCCCCTAAGCACAGAAAAGGGGGCAACAATCTAAGGTCCCACCTAAATTCGAAAAGGCTCAAACTGGCCACCCAGCAGTACGAGGATGACGCCGACGATGAACCCGTTCATTCCCTCCTCATCCGAAGTATAAGGGAGGTGGAGATGCCTTGTAAGTTCGTCTACCCCGATTTAAAGTGTACGATGATCTGTGTGATCCGGAGGCTCACCTCCGACAATACAAACAGCTTACGTCGGTCTACGACATTAGTCAAAAGTTGTTGTGCTGGGTGTTTTCGATGAGTCTCGGAGGCACAACCATGAAATGGCATGAGAGTCGGCCTCTCATGTCACAGAAACAGTTGACCGAACAGTTCACCGTCAGATCATTAAAGGCAGTAAATGTCCGAAAGACGTCGGGTCATTGCTCACCTCCTGCAGAGGGATAACAAAACTCTCAATCAATACGCCACCGTTACTGGGAGCAGATAAACAAGGTAGAAGGGCGTTTTAAGGTGATTGTCACCACTTCTTTTTGACTCCAACTGTCCCGAGATACCGACCTTTATTAATCCCTGAACAATCGGTGTGTATTGTCGTTTGCACCTTGGAAGTAGAATAGTTCTAAATTGGTAATGCTCTATATGCACTAAAAGCTGCAATGTACGCTGTTCGGTAGTAGAGGTAGCTGAAAAGCTTAATTTTTTCGTCAATTCAATTGAACAATGCTACGTAGAATTAAAAATTAGATTTGATAATTTTAACCATTAATTTTATTGTGGGTTTCAGTATTTATTAGAACCTATTACCTATTTAATGATTGAGATTATCAAGTCTAATTTTTACGTTCATTTAGTATTAGTCAATAGTTATTGGTGATCTACTAACCTGCAGTACAAAGTCTTTGATCTGACCTCAAAGAAGGGCAGTCAGCCTAGCCCTCCATTCTTCGATCCTTCTTGGCTTCCCTTACTTACCGTATGCAGTGTTGAGGATAAACATTTAACTCATGCTCCCTCCTTTTAACTAAAGACTAAAGAGATGTGTATTGATGGTCTCCTTCCTTTTAAGGGCATATCTAAAGTCTTATAGTAAGAACAGGTTGGTGACTTTAATTTGTATTGCTAGTCAAAGAAGCAGCTTTGATGATTGCTTGGTGGTTTCACCAATCTATTGGATGAAATTAAACTGCTCAAATCCATCAGACAAAAAGAATTCCACGTAATATTTGTGTGATATAAAATCACCAGAGTGCTATACCCTGATGAACATAGGCAATACTGTTTTATGCAATAGGAAATACTATATGTACTGTCATATACTAAGCTAGGGTTTATCTTTTCTTATGTCTCTACTAAACAAGTTTGCATCTCTCATCAGACTGGAAATGGCTATGATTCAAATCAAAGAAACCATAACTTGTAAGAAAAAGCAGTACGTATGAATGTGAAGTACGTATGAATGTGAATTCTGTGCAACTAAATCTCATGTTCAGCAACCGCGTCCTTCGGTTGATTTCCTTACTACTGACGGTCTTTCAGCCAAAATTAGAGACCCTCAGGTACTGGTTCCCATGTCTCTGCATCAAGTATGAAGCGTCCATTCCAATATCGGAGCTTGTGCCTGACAACAAATTTTCAGAAACAAACCTATATGAATATAAAAATACTAGGCACCACCCATGATAATAATGTACCCATATAAGAATTCACATCAGTAGTTGCACCATTTCTCCGGCGATAATCGGGCCATCCGGAGGGATTACAACCTGAAAAAAAATGTTGTTTTCAGTAAGGATGAGTTACCAAGTATTGTATAACACAGAGAGATCTCAGAAGGAGAAAGTAAGCATCTTACAAATTTCCAGCCCAAATCATCCCCGCATGTCATACAATAAAGGTCTGCTATAGTGTAAAGACCAAACTGCCTCTGGCGAGTCGAAGGGTCGACATTGACACTGTACATAAGACTGATTAAGTTGGCGTGCGGAATGTAAGGTAGAAGATGAAATTGAGCATAAGGTTCAAATATAGTGATGGTCCATAATATGATTAGAGCAGTACCCAAGAAGTGTTCATACCAAGAATAATTTGTTCATTGAGATTTAGGTAGAGTCAATCAATAACAATTTTCTCAAATTTAGTAGTTCTTCACGGAGAGATTTCTTTACTATGTTCTTAAAAATCCAGTTAAAATAAGTTGTAAAATGGTACAGAAATAAGAAATTAGCATCTTATAGTAACAATGTGTCAAGTTATAATCAAGTTCACTCATTCAATAATCCCGACAAAAAAAGATTTAGTAATGAGATCTTACGCTTTCTCAAAGACAACTCCTTTCACTCCTTACACCTGAAAATCACATCGAAAACCATTAATATTGAACACAAAAATTTTATTCAAATGTTCTGTTCATTTCTAGAAGTAAATAACTAAAACGTTTTATAACGTGTACAGATTAATGGTTCTCAATAACCAAAACTACCCAATTAACCAAAGAACAGACAGATCTTGATTCATGGACATAAAAATTAACACCACACACATACACACAAATACAGAGAGAGAGAGGGGGGGGGGGGAGAGTTACACAGTACTTGACGATGAAGTGTTGGCCCAGGGCAATGTGGGTTCGGCATGTGCGACAGATGTAGAATGTAATTTTTGGATCATCATGGATGAATTTGACAAGAGGGAGTGTCGCCATTGTTGAAATATTGAATATGATCTTCGAGGCAGAGTACAATGTTCTCAAAGAGAGCAAGAAACTTGAAGAAAATTGTTTGGAGCTACGTACGTATGAACAGATTAACAGTCGAGAGTATAGATTGAATGAAAAACAGAGCAGAGCAATACCGAAAGAGATTGAAGCAAAGTGGACGCGAATTTTTTTAAAGTTCTTGATTGTGGAAGATGAAGGTTCAAGAAGGTATGAAGTGGGTTGGTCAAGCCATGGATAGAGAGAGACAGAGGTTCTTGATTGACAAAGATAGCGTTCTAAGTCCTGAACTGGGAAGGGTCAATTTATATGTAACACAGTGAAAGAAAGAGAGGAAAAACACTGTAACGACTTCCTACCCGACTCTGAGAGAGAGAGTAGGTGAATAAAACCACCATAACTGTCGTAACAGCCATCCCAATCGTAGTCGGCGAGTAAGGAAGAGATGGGAGATATTACGTATATATCCGTGGAGCAACCAATTGGACTCGCCTAGTGGATAATCATGGATTCTCCCAAATCCAAGGGCTGAGAGGAGATCTTGCTTAATATTTTTCTTACAGTGGGGAGATTGAGACATATATGAGCGGCAAAGTGACAAACTTTATGGGTACACATTTTTAAATCGATTGTTTCCTTATTAGATAGACTAACAATAAATTCTGTGTGTAATTTGTTGAAGACATTAGCCACTTCTCTATAGCCCTAATTTTAATGTTTTTTACACAAGATAAGAGCTGTTAATAGAGCAGTAAATGCGATGTCTAACTTTCTTTCATCGAGTTGGATCAACTGTCCTCTGTCTCAGTTTAAAGTTTTTCTGTTGTCTGATTGTAATCAATATTTTTTTACTTAAATGAAATTACAAGAATTTTTGATCAAATATTTCTACGGTGCTCATATAGATATAGATTTGTTTGTGTCGTAAGGATTTTACCTTGGCCAGATTGACGTATAAAAAGATAGGCTTCTTGGTTTTAGAGACTTGAATCCTATTCTTCTTATGAGAATCAGAGATGTTCATAATATTATCACCGTCAATTGCTACATTATTATTAAACCATGATGTCACATATCAATAATAATGTGGCATCTCTACTATAACAAGTATCATAGATATTTGCTAACAAGTGCTATGTCTCTTGGGTAAGGAATGGTCACAATACTTAAACCCCGAATGCTTGGAATCCTGAAAAATTATTACAATTCATTAATTTTTAAATTGTTAAATCTCGTTAGTCCCAAATGATGTGACACATTGAAAGTCATTGGATAATTAGGGAAAGCTTGTTAAACCTATTGATCTTATGATTCACGTTGATTTGAGATATAAAATTTAATGAAAATTTTGGAGAATATAACATTATTGATAAAAATTATCCAAAATGACTTGAGTGAAGTTTGAAATATGATTTATCAAAATTTAAAACTTTTTTTCTAAATAAGTATTTAATAAAAAGTATTCTATAAGAATAACATTTTTGTAAAATAAGTACCATTTGAATGTTACTGGATTGATGAAGGTCTAACAGGATCATATAATGGAGCTATTTTTACTACTCAGATGTGTATGAATCAGGAGAAAACCTACTCTATTGATGTTTGGCACAACTCATCTTGATACTAGTCCTCAATTCTTTGACAACAAGGATATGGATTGAAGCAGTAGATTTTTTTTTCTCACTGATCAGATAAAGAGTACAAAGTTAGTATTCCTGGCAGAACTGAAAATGAAATTTAAGATACAAAACATTAAAGAGAAATCAAAGGGCTAAAATCCTTCAAACAAACGTAATCAATTCAACTAAAATGTTTTCGCGACATAAAATCACCAGATCAAGTACTTCGTAGGCATAACTGTTCTCTGAGTGTGGAAATTAAAGAAGAATATCTGTATATCTCCACATACAATGAGCTAGTGTTTGTTTATTCTCTCCATACTAGCAGCAGCAACAGAAAAAAAAAACAATTTTGAATCTCTCACCATCAAACTGGAGTTTTGATTCAAACCAAAGAAACCATTAAAGAACTTGAAAGATAAAAATAGTCCAGCCGAGCCATTCCATTGATTTCCTTACTTATATAGTGTCTATGCTGTGGTCATGTTACAGATTCTCCTCTGAATTTGCCTCAGGGTTCACAGCAGGATTTGCCTCAGGAGGATTTGCTTCATGAGGGTTCGCATCTGAGGAGGATGTAGCAGGCAACATGGTCGGATCTAGGGTATTTCTGCCATTCCAATGCAATATTTTTGCCCTGCAAACAAATAATTGAAACAATATCATGTGAATATATATCAATAATATTATGAACTGACTAGGATTATAGTGGTGTAGGCATATAAATAGGATTAAGAACTCACGGATTGAGGTAGTACAATGGATCATCATCCAATTCCAGAGGCCCTGCATCAACCTGAGTGATGTAGTTTCAGTAAACTGACATTGTTAAATGTGTAATACAGAATTATAGAGATATCAAACCAAGTGATCTTACAAGTTCACCGCCCAGCAAATCCCCACATTCGACACAGTATAAATCTTCTGTCTCGTAACGACCAACTTCCCTGTGCGGCATAGGTTCCCGCTTGTACATGTTGGCACTGCATATGTACAATATATATATGCATTGAGAAAATAATCTTAAAATCAGCCTAATTAAGTTGGAAATCATGAGATCTTACACTTCACCAAAGATAAGTCCAGTTGCTCCGTCTGAATGAGGCTGAAATTAATTAGAGCACATTCAAGACAATGTGAGAACACAAATTCACAAGGGCTTATAAGAGGATTAGACTACCTAAAATGACTACTTTCATTTGGGTCTCATGAATCTCAAACAAACATACCCCAGTGCCACATAGGTAACAACGATTTTCATGAAAATGTCTGTACAAGACAAGCTCACGGTTTGCAATCGATCTATTACACCAGAAGAAACTAAGGAATTGTATTTGCTCAAACTATTTGATATTTAAATAAAAAGAATAGTGTGAGTGACCTTCAAACAACTTTGTTATAGGCCATTCTTGAATGCAGCTAACCAATGTAAAGGGCATTGGCTGATCTTAGGAGGAACCAGACTTGTATTAATTAATTATTCAAGAACAATATACCAACAACCCAAGAGCACAAAACATCCACACCCGCAAGTACGGGTTTTAAATCATAAACAAAATAACCTAAACAATGATTCTCAATACCCAAAACTCCCAAAAAGAAAAGAAAAGAAAGATCTTGGTTGATGAGACAAAGAATTACCACAAACACAGTGACAAAGGATTACCCCACACACACCCCGAGAGAGAGAGAGAGAGAGAGTTTTTACCTGTAAGGGGTATCGGAAGTGAACATTCAAGGCAATGACGGTTCGGCAAATACGACATATGTAGAAATCCCGAACTCCGTGGAAGCAAACAAGAAAGAGCCTCCCCATTGTAGAAACTTTGAATATCCACCAATGACCTACGAAGCAGAGAGTAGAATTCCCAAGGAAAGCAAGAAAAATTCAACAAAAAAAAGGTCGAAGCTACGTGTGAACGAGTAACTGTCGAGTACTCCTTGAAGAAGACAGATCAGAAATAGGAGTGATTGGAATGAAATAGGCGTTGAATTAAAGTTGTTGATCGTGAAAGATAAAGGTTCAAGAAGGTATGACAAGAGATTCTTAATAGTAATTTGGGCGAAGTTGATGTTACTATTAATTCATAATAAAATATAAATTAAAATTTTTAACCTATACTACTTATAAATGTTGTGAAAAAATTTTAATTTTCTAATTTATCCCTATTTATTATTATAAAGTCAATTCTACTCATATATCAATTTCAAATGATTTTTATTTTTAATATATATTTGACTTCTAAATTTTTTTGAACTCTTTTATTAATAACTTTTAAATTGTTGTGAACTCATTTATTAGTAATACACTTACATACAGTTTTTATATCAATATCTATTTATATAAAAAAAATAAAATTCAATCTATATTCTATTATTATATAAATGTTGTTGACAGGTTGAATTGTACTATCAAATATGTCACATTTGATTTTTTTTTTTAACAATATCATTATATTATAAAACAAACAACAATTTATAATTTAATTAATTTCTTTGACAAAAATAGAATAACATATTTAGACGTGCAAATACTCAAGAATGACAATCTTATAAGAACTATTTTATTAGTAACATTTGACTCCTAAATTCTTATGAACTCATTTATTAGAAATACATTTACATATAGTTTCTATATCTATATCTATTTATATAAAAAATAAAGTTAGGAGATCAAAAAATATAGTTTCTATGTTGTTAGGAGATCAATTTTTATTGTCAAATATGTCACATTTGATTTTGTTTTTTTTTTTGTATGCAACAATATTACAATACAAACAATAATTTATAATTAATCAATCTCTTTGATAAAATAATATAATAATATATTTAGATATGAAAATTTATATCTATATTTATTAGGGATGGCAGTGGACCGAGAAAAACGAGTATTCGTCCAAACCTGCCCTGTTTGAACCAGGGATGGATTATACGTATTGGATGATGGACATATACGAAAATACTCGTATAAACCCGTACAGGGTGAAAGTGGAGATGGACTTACCCTTACTCCCGTGCAGCCTCGCCCCCGTTACCTTATATATATATATATATATATATATATATATATATATATATATATATATATATATACTCTCAAACCCTAACTAAACATATTTACTATAACTACTAAACTAAAAATATGGTAATCAAATTAACAAGTGGCATTGTTATGTGGTAATCTTATCAACTTTTTTTCCTGATTGTTCTTTTTTTTATTTGTGATCACTGATTAAAACTGTTAGAAGTTTGAATTAATCAAGCTCTAAAAATAGATAAGAGAGAGTAAAATAGTTTTGTATTTCATCATGGGTAAAAATATTGTGAATGAAAATTGATAAATTTTTCTGCTAGAGTGAATTAAAAAATAGGGAGAATTATTGAATTAGCAAAATTTTTAGTTTTCATCTTTTAACACTTTATTGTTGTAATATGAATTATAATAATAAAAATTCTTTTAGAAAACTTCAAGTGTAGCTCAATCGTTTTCTTAATTCAATTTTATTTTCTTTTTCTTTCTTTCACTCTAATAATTTCGTTTCTCTTTGTAATCCAATAACACTTTACATAAAATACTATATTATTTTGATTTTTATATTTTATAATCTAGATTATTTAGAATATTGTTAGATTATTTAAAATATTAGATTTATTTAAAATTTGAATTATGCTACTTGACCTTAGGCTTAAACAAGTACAGAGGAAGCAGGGACGAGGACAGGGATTAGAAATTTACCTACAGACGAGAATGGAAATAAAAATTATACCCGTTAACGGGGGTAAACTGAGGATGAACGAAGTTTTTTTAAATAGATATGGGAATGAAGACTACACTCCCCGCTTCCGCTTCGATCCACTAATATCCCTAATATCAATATCTACAAAAAAAAATTAATTTTCTATTTTATCCCCAACTATTATAATAAAGTCAATTATACCCTTCTATATATTTTTATTTTTTACACATATTAAACTTTCAACTGGTTTTGAATTCTTTTATAAAAATTTCTAAATTCTTTTGAACTCATTTATTAATAATACAATTATATACAATATCTATATCTATATAATCTATAATCAAATATATATTATATTTTATTTTTTGGTATATAATAAAATAATAATATTATAAGAGTTATCTAATTAATTTATTTAACAAAATAAAAATTATTAATTCTATAATATAATTAAATATGCAAATATTTAAAATGATCTAACAAATACCTAAATAAATGACAAATTAGTTGCTTAAAAATTTATAGAATAAATTAATAATTAAAATTAATAATAATTAAAATACGAATTAATTATTTGACACTTAATTTATTATTTAATTTTATTAGATATATAATTTATATTTTTTATAAAAATAAAATTATTTTAATTTATTTATATGCAACACATGTTATACATTACTAGTATTTAAAAATACAAATTCAAATTCAAATTCAAAACATCTTTCAAAATACAAAATAATATTAGCCCAATAATCTTAATTCTCATTTTAGACAATTGAGTTGTTGAAGTTGATTAAAAAAAAAGGTAAACTTAATTTAAAATTAGAAAATTAAATGGAATAAAGAAGAATATTTAAAGGGTGGGATAGCCATAGCCTCACCCTAAAATGTTCCAAAACAGACCCACCGGAAGGGTTGTGTATTTCATTATCTCCCTCACTACACAAGTTTGAATCAAGACAACCTAAATTCACAACTGAACCCACAACCAAACCTAAAATCCCTAAACCTAACCCTACATACTCAGGTAGCGGCAAACAAACACAATAAGCGACAGATCAATCCACCAATCAACCATACACTCAAGAACTCGTGAACTTCGTGACAGCCTTTGTCCCCTCAGACACAGCGTGCTTAGCCAATTCACCGGGAAGCACCAACCTCACGGCAGTCTGTATTTCGCGGGAGGTGATGGTGGGCTTCTTGTTGTAGCGAGCGAGCCTGGAGGACTCTTGAGCGAGCTTCTCGAATATATCGTTGATGAAGCTGTTCATGATACCCATGGCCTTGCTTGAGATCCCAATGTCAGGGTGGACCTGTTTCAGGACCTTGAAGATGTAGATCTTGTAGGTCTCGGTACTCTTCTTGGCCCTCTTTTTCTTCTTGTCTCCGGCAGCGGCGCCACCTTCTTTCGGTAGCTTTTTCCCGGCTTTTGGCTTCTTCTCTGCCGGAGCTTTATCGGCGACTGTGGTTTTCTTCTCCTCTGCCGGCTTCTTCTCGGCGGGTTTCTTCTCAGCCTTGGGAGCCATCAGGACGTGTAGAGAGAAAGCTAGGGTTCGGAATTTTGGTGAATAGAAAATCAATAAGGAACCTATCGGCTTCGAATTGGTTTGTTGGATGGAAATTAAATTGTGGATGCGTATATAAAGAGGGGAGGGGAGAAATCTTATTGGTTAGTGAGGGTTTCACGCGGATCGGTGACTTTGCGTTTGTTTGGGGCGTTGGATTAGGTTGTCGTGGTACATGAGTAAATGAACGGTTCCGATGCGATTAACTTTCATTTTTTGGGCTTGGAAAGCTTGGGAATTTTGTATTTGGCGCCTTTTTTTTATGTTCGAAAATTAAGTATAGACAAAGAGAGATTTAACTAATTAGAACCACTCCAACGGAGTTGTCATCGGGTGCAATCTTTAAAATCGTTAAAATGGTATCTCAATTTTAAAAATTCTCATTTCAATGGGGGAGACATCAGAAATGGCAAAATGACATATAGAATATTGGGGTAACATATTTGACAACTTTTGAGAGAGAATTAAAATGTTGCAAAATAGCCGTTGGATCTACTATTCCTCTCAACGACTATATTCAACCCAAAAAATCTATAAAAATACAGAGAGAGGAAAGGAAAAAGAGGCTTGCTTGAAACCCAGAAAATTGCTTCCTTGAACCCTTGCCTTTGAAAACCCTAACTTCCCTGAACCCTTCCCGTTAGTGTCTGCTCTCTATCAATTCGTTGGTGTACTGCTCCCTAAGAAATCGTTGCCGTTGTAATAAGTTGCAAAGGGCATAGGGGAAGAGGAGGAAGGTGAAAGGGTAGGAAACGTTTTATTTAGGGGAAAGGGAAGGTTTTGTAATTTATAATTACATCTGTCACCCCTGTTCTTATTTTAATTTATAATTAGTAATATAATTTATAATTTATAAATTATTTATACTTTATGGCAGATTTATTTGTTTTAATTAAGGGTAATTTTATATATTTTTTAAATGATTATTTTATGTTCATTCTTTAAATTGATTAAAATTTATTTATTCTTTAAGTTTAATTATATTTTTTTAAAAAAAATATTAAAAAATTAAAATGACACCCTATTTTGACACTTACCATTGAAGCATATTTATAATTTAGGGGTGCCAAAACACTGTTCAATGTTGCAAAATGGTATTTAGCACCCAAAAAATGACAACTCCCCTTGGAGTTGCTCTTACAAAAGAAAACTACTTCCATGCTTACTTCTTGAATTTTTTTTTATTTCTTTTTTGTATTTAGGGCATTTAATTTGGTGTTTTGGTCCCAAAAATAATTAGCGGGGTTTTTATTTTTTCATAATCTAAGGGGTTGTTTTGACAATATCATTTAAGGTTTAAAATTGAATACTTTAAGCATTTAATAAATTAAACTTGTTTGATAACCTAATATCTATACTACTTAATATTTTAAACACTTCTTAAAAATATGTTAAAATTTTAAGTAGCAAGTCACCTACTAAACACTTAATACTGAAAATATTAGTCATTAAGAATTTTTTCAATTTTTCATAATGGATAAATATACATTCACCACTATTGTGTTATCGCCACCACCACTATTACTATTGTACTACCGCCAGCACCATCATCACCATCACTATCACCATTACCATTGTGTCATTGTCGCCACCATCACTACCACCACCATTACTGTGAACACCTCTACCACAATCATCACCATTATGTCATTACCACCACCACTACCATTATGTCACCGTCACCACCACCATTGTCGTCGTCGCCACCACTACCACAACTGCCACTGTCATTGCCGTCACCACAATCACTATCATTGTGTTGCCGCAGCCACCATCACCATAGTGTTGCCACCGCTGACATCACCATTGTTGTCGTCACCATTATCATTGTGCCACCGTTACCACCACCATTGTTGTAAAACCCCGTATTAAAAAGTAAATAACGATACTATTATCGTAAGAGTTCTCTTAATATGAATAAAATGATGGTAGAAACTTAGAATCATTGTTGAAATATTAATCATAAAACTTGAGTTTTGAACGAATTGACTTTCAGGTCAAACTTAGTTTCGAAGGTGTGTAAGCTTAAGAATGGTAATTAGGTAAGTTTTTAAATGTTTTTAGGTCAAAATAAGATTTTCATTGAATCTAGAAGATCAAGAAACCTTGGAAGAGGTAATATGTGGTGTATTAGAATTTCAAAAGTGGTTTGGAGTTAAAACGCATTTTAGAAAAAATGCGGGTAGGAAAGAATTTGACGATACCTTAGTATTTTAGCTATAACTTTTTTATCTAAACTTCAATAGAGCTAATTTTTGGACAGTGGAAACTAGATTTCAAGAGGTGCAAAAGTATATTTTATGAAAATATCCTGAATCGACTTATAAATAGGTGAAAACTACTGTTGAAGTTGGGACAGAAAGTTGCCTCTGTCCGGACGCTCCAAGCATCATCCGAACGATACTCCTTACCCAAAAACTTTATTTCTCGTCAAAAAAAAGACTTTGAATCGTCTGGACACCCAAGGACCGTTCGGATGCTACCGTAAAATCTGCCCCGATAAGTTTTAGAGTTTTTCTCTAATTTTTACACTATAAATACCTAAGGACGCCTCATTTAGCCTCATTTCATCAATTCTAACCACTAGAGAGCCTTAAAGAGTAGGAAGGAAAGGGAGAAAACACAGGAGTGAAGGGGATTCTCACATTGAAGTGGATCAACTTTTCTAATTTTTCACACAACACCAAGGAAGAAGAAAGGTAGGGGTTTCTTTCTATTCTCTTCCATTGAGGCTAAGGTTTATATATATGTATGTTTTGACTCTAAATCCTATGTATATGTTAAAAAATTCTTGATTCTTAATATTCTTACAAATATTACCATATTTTAAACAAAGTTATGATTTGGTAGCCATGAAATCTCTTTTTCTTGTATTAAAACCTTAGTTTTCAAGAGAAATGAATTTTTCTCTTGATTTTTACTTTGTTCTTGATTTCAAAACTCTAGTGCTCGATATAAAACAACAAAATGGTATTTTTGATTATCTCTTGCAATTGTTTTATTGGAATAATACATGTGAAATTTGAAAATTTTGGATTTTACTTAGGATTAGAGAAATTGGTTGGGTATTGTATCTCTTGTGGATGTTTGGATGACCATAGGTGGCCGTTGACCGGATATCGTAGAGTGGGTAGATGCATTTTTTACTTCGTGCGGGTTTAAATTTTTTCTATCACTCGTAGTGGAGTTGGTGTCTTACAATGACCAAACTACTATTCGCTCACATGGTATCAAGGCTGAGGGTTAGTATACTATTCCTGGATTAAATTCACCATTGTCAATGCGTTGTTATACACTCTTCCTAAAGTTTGATCTTCTTGCAAGGATTAGGGGTGTGTGCGTGTGTGTGAGCCAAAATATTCTCGATGTGTTTATTCATGCGATGTCATACATCATACCTGAGATACATTGTGGGCTATTGTTTATTGTGAAAATTGTTGGTTATGGTTTATTACAGAAAAGAGTTTATTATGAAATTGGTTTACTATGAAAATGGTTATTATGGAAATGAAAACTTGTTGGAATTGTTATTTTTGGAAATTGGTTTTACTTTTTTTTTTATTATTTCTATTGTATAAACTTGAGATCCATTAAAGTGTCTCTGTTTTCCTTCAAAAGCTATATATGATATTTGTAAAATGAGACCGACTGTTTTATATGCTTTTGAAACCTTGTTTGAGTTTGGGAGAATTTTCCTACAAAGCTTAGTACTCACCCCCTACAAACAACATTCTTTTCAGATTTTGGTTTAGAGGAGGAGCTCAGAGTTAGTAGCTTGGGAAGCTCAACTTGATGGGCATGTGGACCCAGAGGGGAATGTCTAGAACTGTTCTATTTATGTTTTAGACTAGGAGGTTTATTTTGAGATAATGTTCATTTTAATTTTTTTCTTATTCCGCTGCAAGATAATAGTTAATTTTTGGGATGTAATTGTTATAGTTGGGCATATTCTTTTGGATGCAATGACCATGATTGACATATTCTTTTAGATGAAATTGTAAATATTATGGATGATGAAATGAAATTTTCTTTAATTATGAACTTTATTAGTTGCTTTCATGATGTGAATAGTTTTAAATAGTAATACCGTTCAAAGGGGATTTTAGGGTGTTACAATTGTGTCATCGCCACCACCATCACTATTATTGTCGCCACCATCATTATCACCATTACCATCACCATCACTATCACCACCTCCACCACCATCGTTGTTACCATCACTATCATTATGTTATCGTCATCACCTCTATTGTGCCACCGTTACCACCACCACCACCACTACTATTGGGTCACATCCACCACCACTTTCATTGTTACCACTATCATTGTGTCGTTGCCACCACCACAACCACAATGTTGTCGTCACCACCACTATCACCCATCTCTATCGTCACCACTATCATTATGCCACCACCACCACTGTCGCTGCCACTATTACCACCATTTTTGTGATGGTGGTGATAGAAATAAGACAATTTAGGAGAGATAGTTAAAGAGAATGGTAAAATTAGAATAATAATAATATTTTTTAGACTTCAACTCTTTATATTCGTCAAACAGTTTGATTAAATTCAAAATTTAAATTTCAGTTTATAACAAAAGTATGCGAATTAAAAAATTCAGCATTCAGCATAAGGGTATACATGGGCCGATCCAAGCTAGGCCCACAAATTTTTTTTCGAGTTGAGCTTGGATAGTGTAGGTCCAAGCCCTTATCCAAGTAAGTTATCGGACGGGTCGGACCAAGCTTTGGGTAGGTGTAGACTACCCGTGAGCCTATTAGATGGGTCTTCTGGGCAGGCCTGCTCATAGGCTTTTTTATATACAACTTTATTTAAAAATAATTAATATTTTTGTAACTTAATATTTGTGTAAATTATATTTTTGAATCAAAACTAGAATCAAATTAGATAAAAATAAAATAAGGATTAATTTTATTTTTGATTAGAAGATGAATTACATCCAATAGAATGTATACATCCTAACTAGGTTGACACCTACTCACTTATCTATCATTTGCATTATTTTACCCTTTAAAACTT